GGGCGATTATATATCGCCAGGGAGCTCCCCAACCGCCATCCCGCTGACACCCATGTTCTTTTGGCACGACAAGCCGCATATTGCCTCAACGGCGCATTATCTTCAGCGTGTTTTCCCCAGCAGGCTGGCCATGATGCGCGGGGCATTCATCGAGGACACGATCGGGCAGAGAGCCAGGAGTCAGATGAAGGAAGGGCAGTGGGCCAAATGGGCAACCTGGCTTTACAACCCCCGAGATGGCAAGCAAGTGTGCTTGAGACATCTCCATGGCAGGACGTGGAGAGGTGAGGAGGAGGAAACGAGGATGAAGGGGGTACATCGTGAGCGAAACTTGGCTGCGTTGCGCCAGTTGGCAGATGCAGCAAACGGTAATGCCGATGCCAACACCAACTCTAGATTCCTAGAAGACGACTCGGATACAGAAATTAGCCTAGACTTCTTACGAGAAGAGACGTGAGATTTCTTCAGACGAGTTCGAACTACCTCGGTGTCCAGTGCTCGCAACGCCGGCGCCTTCCATCTCGATGCATTGAACTTTCGATTCCGTATTCGAAAATATCCCGCATCGGCACGTCTTGCATATCCGCTGTTTTTTCCCTCCAATGAGACCATCGTGACCATGCTGCCTTCGGAGTCATCAAGCTCCCGAAACCTAGGTAATCTTGGCCTTTTCTCGTCGGCGTGTTTTGGCAATGGTTGTGTAAGGCAATCTCGAAATGGTATCCCGAACACGGGCTATTTCCGAGGTGTTACATTTAGGTCGCGCGTGTATCGCTTGTTTCGGGTGCTGCCTACCCAATGACTGGGAAACTTGGGTCGGCTTGAATTTACAACGACGGCACACGTAGGTGACAGATATGTTGTTTTACACGCCGTTCCTGTGCTGAGACCTGCAACTTGGTCCAGTTTTTTTTTCCCTTTTTTTTTGCATCCTCAGATTCAAGCGATTCAAGCTACAGAACTACCTGCTTATATATATATATGTATTCATATCAAATTATAAAAAAAAAAGGAAAAAATAATCTGGATAAAGGGCATCTAGTAAAACTATATTTTAGCCATACCTAGGCCGGGGAACCGCAACTAACCACGCAAGACAGCATGAACGCATCGCGATGCGTCAGACACACTACCCGAATTGGTGATATATATGTTATATATAATTAAGTCTGTGAATATTTTTTTTTAAAAAAAAACTTTCTTAATCCAAATAATTATGCAAGCATCGTGCAAGCATTACATCAGTTAACACAATGTGTTGGCCGTACCAACCCAGAGAACCCCAACATGCCACGTAATACAACCACGAGTACACGCATCGTGATGCGTCAGAAACTAGCAAAATATAATATACATGAAACGAAACCTTCAAACTTCATGATCCTCTTGACAAATACACCTACACAGCTAGTGACTTGTTCCAGAATTCTCCAGCTAGCCAAAGGCTTATACAATGGGGTGATTTGCTTCAGCGGTAGACCTTGATAGGCATGGCCGAGCGGCGCACGGGTATGCAGCGAGCCAAGAGAGGAGCTGGTCTTTTCCGGCTTTGAGGTCGTAAGCGTCTGCGACACTTGTGGCTGAGTGAATACGCAAACTCATCCGACTGCCTCTCAGAATTTTTTCCACCTCTTTATCTAATTGGTGCAAGGGTCTCTTTACCGTTGCATTGCAACGACATGTCCTTAATGCGGCCCAATTCTACGCGTGGGACATTTTTTGGCCCTATGAGATAGCCTTGTAGTCTAAAACTATTGTAATGTGCTTCTGTACCGGTGGAAACTCCTGGTCTTGATCTATTTGGAACGGTTACTTCTGAGCATACTAGCGGCGTATTGAGTGATGACGTAGACGCACCTGCGTATCTAGTGTACAGAGCCTTTTATTCTTGTTTCCAGGAGTCCTTCAATATCTCATCGTCGACCAGCCACCCCCTCATCCAGAACAGTTAGCAACATCTGCCTAAATGCAAGGTACTGTACAGTGCCGTCTATTGAGTCTCGGCGTTATTTCTTGCCTCGACATTTAGACAGCTCACGATTCGTAGTATTTCCGGATACCCTGGCTCCTTGACCCAAGCAACCACCACCACCACCACGTCACTAGAGAAGGGTGTGGCGTTTCTTTATCCAGTCTCCCATTCATAAATCTGTGCCGGTGGACAAAGTGGCTCACGGCTTGATTCGTTTATCGAGTCGGTATCCCAAGACATGGGTCCCGGTACTACGGCAGATCGACTTGGTCCGCTCACCCGCTCACCTTCAGTCGGTATAACTCTTGATCACTCATCCGTCCTAGCTCGTAGCCCTGCCGTGAGGCGGCATGCTTGATAAGCACTTGACGCTTTCCAAAGTGAAACTAACGCCCTGCATGATTTGCAGGCTGCGGACCCGAGCGCGGCTTCGCACTCACAGTTTTTGATTCATTCTTCTAGGCGACGAAAGGGGGCCGCTAGCTTTGGTCGTCAACCTCTGCCGCGATGATGCCTTCAAATCCTCCAGACATGCCCTCCTGCCCATGAATAACAGCACGGCACTGAACCCCCGGGATCTGCAGCACCTGGAGCGAAGAGGCTGCTTCAGCTTGCCATCTCGCGGGATGCAGGACGCGTTGCTCCGCGCCTACTTTCACCATGTGCATCCCTTTGCGCCCATCGTCGACGTGCCCGACTTTGCATATCGCTACACAAGCGGACAAGTGAGCATCTTGTTGCTTTGGAGCATGTTTGCCGCGGCAGGGGGCGTGAGTCATGTCTACATGCGAGAGTTGAGACCGGCGAGCAGCACGTTGATGGAGCTGACCAATGTCTGGTGGTTTGTCGACGAGCAGCTGCCAACCGGCGAGCTTGGGACGACGAGGACAGAGGCCAAGTCGACGGCGTTTGAGCGGCAAAGGCCCTCTATGAGTTGGAGTACGAAAAGGAGACAATACTTCTCGTCCAGTCCACGTACCTGATGAGCTACCGGCTCGGGCGCTTAAACGACGTCAGGGGGCCGTGGTATTGGATGGGCGTCGCCATCAACCTCGCCTACACGGCCGGGCTTCGCCGTCGCCCGATGGGGAGTTTTCGCTGCACGAGTAACGGCTGCCATGTTTTTCTTTGGTGTGAAACGCGCGAGCTGACTATTTTTTCAAATTTTCTCGGGACGTTGCGGGGCCGGAGATACAACGCTTTTAATCATGTCCGATTATTACTACCATCTAGTTACCCCGTAGCCGGTCTGCACATGTGCCATTGCCTTTTTTGGTGTCTATATTTAAATCGTGCAAAAAGTCCCGCCCCCTTGCAAGCCGGGGTCCCGCCCCGCACCTCGGGCCCCCGAGCCCCAGTGTCCGAAACGCCCGGCTGTTCTCGGTGGGTACCCGCGGCTACCGGGGAGTCAGGCGCCGCACGTGGAATTGTAAGACCGGCAGCTCCGCCCGTGGCCATGGTCCTGGGCCGTACATGACCTTCGCGTTTGTCTCGTGTACTCGGTAAAACAGAAATCATGGTCGTTGTCTCGGTAGATTCATCTTGGTAAACAGAGCGAGGATTAAGAACAGAAATCGCCACGATCGCGCTCTCGGTAAAACAAGACCCTGATGCCGGGATGTTGACCCAGGCAAAGCGGAGAGAGCCAAGGCTGTGGTTTATCCCCTCCGGGGGCCCTGCCGGGGGCCGCCTGCGGCGAGCTGTGGCCTGCGGCCGGCCTTGACATCAATTAATGACACCACGTGTGCGGATTTCACGAGCTCGACGATGCGATACGTGGATAGCGTAAGCCACTTTTTTTACTAGTAGTCGATAAGTATTTTACTTTTAATTGATCCAATGCTCATGGACGCTCCTATTACATTATGCTAAAGAGGTAGAGCCGGGAGCTGCAGCTAAAAAACGTAGGCAAAGCTTAATATACAAAAGGGGGATTAAAAACAGAAATCATCTTCATTACACCCCTGATAAATTAAGCTTCCTACAAAACGAGAAGCGAAACATTTGACAAATAAAATGTCTGGTCCCTCATCTGCAGTCCTCCTCGCCCGCCTCCTCGCCCGCCAAGCTTCCCGCCCACACCCACACTACGACTTCTCCATCACCCATCGCGGTTGCCAGAAAGCACCAGACCGCTTAGCAGTTCGTCGGCCGGTACGCCTTGAGCGAGGTGTCGCCGCCGGGGACGGCGCCCTGCGCAGCAGCCATGTACTTGTCAATGGCGGGCAGCACATGCGGGCAGCGGTCCTGGTTCATGGCCCTGACCAGGGTCTTGACCTCGTCGGGCTTCATGGTCGACCCGCGCTTGGACACGAGCGTCAGGCCGTCGACGATGAACTGGAACGTGTCCTGGTTGACCAGCACGTCGTGGGCGTCGGCGACGTTGGCGTCCCTGGCGGCGGCCGTGCCGTTGAGGAAGACGCGGTCCAGGACGGCCTTGTGCACGAGCTCGTCGTTTTCGGCGTCGAGCGCAATCTTGCCCTGCCTCTGCAGCTCCTGGGGTTCCATGGACTCGGCGTTGGACAGGAAATTGGAGACGGTGCCCGTGTCGTTTCGCCACGCGCGCGCCGCGGCGTCGATCTGCTCGCTGGTTGGCGTCTGCGTGCTCGCGGTTCCGATTCCGCCAGACGACGACGAGCCTCCTCCGCCCGCCAGGGGCCCCAGGAAGTTGTCCACCATGCTGCCGATGGCTCCAAAGGTGGGAAGGGCCACGGCGGCGTGTCCCTGGAGGACGATGACGAGGGGGCCGATGACGTTTTTTGGCCGCATTTTGTCTTTCTTGTTGTGTATAATAGACAGGCAAGTAAGAAAAAAGGTGCGAAAAAGAGGCCTAACGATTGGACTGTTGACAATAAAGGATGGAATACTGCTGCTGCAGCTGCTCGGTGTGTTCTGGTTGCAAACGAGTGTGAGTATCAGATTAAGGCTAGTATAGGCGTGAGCTGATGACCAGATGTTTTCCCCCCAGACGAGACCAATTATATATACCTTTCCATTTCAAGTTACACATCAAAGTAGCGGTTTTTTCTCGGCGGTAAATAATGGGCCTGTCCGCACAGAAGCTTTCCGTGTAACTTTTTTGTTTCCAAGGCTTTTGCTTTGCGATGCCCACCACGAGCGCAAAATCCATGTAGTCTTTGTCGCCGGAAATGACGCATGTTTTAGATGCTACCCACTTTTGACTCTCGAGCATCGTACAAACCGTTAAAATATGGGCCCATGATGGTAGATTGCGAGAACCTATCGTGGCCGCCACGCGCGTGGTGGTGGCATCCCCACCGACCATGTCCAAGCACATCGACACATGCCTCCCCCACGCAGCGAGCGACCTGTTCGTTTCAGGTCTGACCTGCTCAGGGCATCACCGCTACGGTGTTGCGCTACGGCGCGCAGAAATCTTGGTTGCCTCGGGACTTTGTGGGCTGGGTGGCCAGATGGGATGGCCGGCAATAGGAGGGGATTGGTGCTCTTGACTACACTGGCCGAGTTTTTGACGTTGGCTGGAGGGGGAACTTTGGATGAGAGACGGGGAAGGGGGGGCTCGAACGATTTGTTTACAGTGCATTTTTTCTTCTTTCTTATAAGCTTTAAGCTTTATAAGTAATAGTACAAGTATTATACGAGCAGTACACAAGTATTACATCTAATACACTATATGTTAGCCGTACTAAGCTAGAGAACCATAATATACCACGTATTATAGTGTATTAGAATAGTATAATATATATTATAATATACATTATAATATACTAATATATACTAATATACACTAATATATACTGATATATACATTAGTATATACTATAGTATATATTAGTGTATATTAGTATATATTAGTATATATTAGTATATATTAGTATATACTGCTTAATAGGTAAATACACACTGTAGCCGCAGAGAGATTTCGGGGTCATAGAGCCTGCCGTGGCATCCGCCAGCTACACTATATAAGTGTGAGAACCTCCGGTAGTGCAGCTTGTTATCTCTCCTTACCCATTCTTTATGCATCGCAGAGCCTTCTATTGGCAAATCCCTAATCTGGAGAGAAACATCGTTTAGACATGGACGCAGCTAAGGCTTACGAGTCATCTGTTAAGGGTGCGACTTGACCAAGTGATGAGGGGTTCAGTGTGCCCACTGCCCACCATATGGCCCCCGGCTTCACAACCTTCTTGTTAGCCCAGCCAAAACATCTCTGCAATTGCAATTTGTCTCGTCTTACACCATTAATGCCTCCCACCACCTTCACAATGAACGTCTTGACAGCCACCCACCTTCCCCTCTCGTTCGAAGCTATACTGTGAGGGCTCACGGAAGGGAGCTATAGCGAGGTTACAAGAGCTCGTGATGCAACTGATAAGTTATATTATAAGAGAGCTAAAAGAAGTGAAGAAGTTAATTATATAGAAGAAGAAGAAGAAGAGCTAGCTAAAGGGTAATAGTATAATAATAATAACCTAATACCTTACACGTAACTATATAGGCCTTAATATCCCCTTATTTAAAAAAAGATAATAGCCTTATTATTAAGATAATAAGAAAGAAAAAAAAGAAAAAACTATTAAATCCCTTTTGTCCAAGCGACGAGCTATTAAAAATATATAATACACGTAATTAAAGTAAAATTAAAGTTAATTTCTTATTTTAATCTTTTATTTTATTTACTTATTAGCTAATAAACTTAATGCTATTATTACTAGTATTAGCCTAAGTATTACTATTTTCGCTATCTTAAGTGGTAGTAGTATTAGCCTAAGCATTATTATTCTTATTATTTTAAGTGATAATAGTACTAGCCTAAGTATTATTATTCTCGCTATCTTAAGTAATAGTAATACTAGCTTAAGTATAATTATTCTTATTATCTTAAGTAGTAGTAGTACTAGCCTAAGTATTATTATTAGTAATAGGTGTATTATTAGTAATATTATTCCACGTAATACTATTATAAACTATTATAACGTTAGCGTTAATAATTATATCTTAAGCGTTATTATTATAAGGTACTCTCTTTAATTTATTAGTAGTAAAGCTAGTAGCTTATAAAAGCTATTTCACGCGTTAAGCTTATTTATCTATTAGAGGGGGTACGCGTTTTCTTTAGGCTTTTTTAAAGATTTAATTATACTTAAAGTCCTTTAACTTACTATTAATAGTAACTTAAAAAGAGATAATATAACCTTAAGTTAAATTTACTAGTATAAATTACTTAATATCTCCGTAAATAATACGTGGTACTATAAGTTATTTTATAAGTGGGATAAGACTAAGCGCCTTTATTAAATAATTGGCTTTATTAATAATTACTAGAACTAGGGATTATTCTTAATAGTAATTAGCGATTTTAATTATAATTATA